TGACAGATGACTTTCATTTCCCTTGGACATGTGCTGAGGAGTGGGATTGCTGGGCCATGTTGTAGTTCTTATTTTAGGTTTTTGAGGAACCTCCATCATATTTTCTGCAATAGCTGTACCAATTTACATTCCCACCAACAACGCAGGGTTCCCTTTTCTCCACATTTTCACCAACACTTATTGTCTTTTTGATAATAGCCAATCTGGTTGGAGTGAGGTTGATATCTCATTGTGGTTTTGATTTGCATTTCCTGGATGATTAAGGATTTGAGCATTTGCTCATGTACTTAGGTCTTCCTTTGAGAAATGTCTGATTAGATATACTGGCCATTTTTAAATTGAAGTATTTGAGTGGTTTTGTGTTTTTTTGTTTTGCTATTGAGTTGAGTTCCTTATATATTCTGGATAACAACCCCTTGTCAGATGTATAACTTGAAAATATTGTCTCCCATTCTGTAGGTTGTCTTTTCATTCTGTTGATTGTTTCCTTTGCTGTGCAAAAACACTTTAGCTTGATGACATCCCATTTTTCTGTTTTTATTTCCTATTCTTTTAAGGTCTGATCTGGAAAAATCCTTGCCCATTCCAGTGTCTTTAAGTATTTTCCCTCTGTTTTCTTCTAATAGTTTCAAAGTTTCAGGTCTCATATTTAGATATTTAATCCATTTTGAGTTGATTTTGGTACATGGTAGTGATAAGGGTCCTGTTTGATTTTTCTGTATATGGCTATTCAGTTGTGTCAGGACCATTTATTAAAGGACTATCCTTTTGTCAATGCCTGTTTTTAGCACCTTTGCCAAAGATGAGTTTGCTGTATATGTGTGAGTGTACTTTTACGGTCACTGTTCCATTCCATTGGTCTGTTGATCTGTTTTTACCATGCTGATTTTTTTTTTTAAGATTTATTTATTTATTTGAAAGGCAGAGAGAGAGAGAGAGTCGGAGAGATCATCCGTCTGCTGGTTCACCCCAAATGGCTGCTATAGCCAGGGCAGGGCCAGGCTGAAGTCAGGAGTAGGGAACTCCATCCTGGTCTTCCACATGGGTGGCAGGGGCCCAAGCACATGGACCATCTTCTGCCTTCCCAGATGCATTAGCAGGAAGCTGGATCAGGACTTGAACCAGTGTTCCAATATGAGATGCCAGAGTCTTATGCAGGGGCTTAACCCCGTTGTACCATAACACCAGCCTCTGTGATGTTTTTTATTTTTAAAATTTTGTTATTTTATTTGAAAATCAGAGTTATAGAGGAGAGACAGAGAGCTCTTCCATGTGCATGGGCGAGGACTGTGCCAGGCCAGAGCCAGGAGCCAGGAGCCAGGAGCTTCATTCAGGTCTGCCACGTGGATGGCAGGGGTCCAAGCACATTGGCCATTCTCTGCTTTGCCCAGGCCATTAGCAGGGAACTGTAATCATGTGGAGCAGCTGGGACACAAACCAGCACCCCTATGGGATGCTAGCTTTGCAGGCAGTGATTTCACCCTCTACACCATAATACCCTCTACCCATCATGCTGCTGTAATTACTATATCTTTGTAATGTATTTTTAAAGTCAGGTAGTGTAATGCCTTCTACTTTGTTCTTGCTCAAGATTGTTTGTGGTTTCATACAAATTTTAGTAATGCTTTTTCCAGTTCTGTGAAAAGTGTCATTGGAATTTTGATAGAGATCACACTGAATCTGTAAATTGCTTTGGATAATGCACATTTAATGTTACTGATTCTTCTCCATGAATATGGTATGTCTTTGTGTCTTTAATTTCTTTCATTAATGATTTATAGTTTTCTTTATGGAGATCTTTCAGTACTTCTTTGGTTAGATTTATTGTCAGGTATTTTGCATTTTTGAAAATGGGATTGCTTTCTTGATACCTTTTTCAGAAGATTCACAGTTGGTATATATCAACACTGCTGCTTTTTGTACATTGACTGTATCTTGCAACTTTGCTGAATTTGTGTATTCTAAAAGCTTTTTGATGGAATCTTTTGGGTTTTCTGTATATACAATTATGTCATTTGTAAACAGTGATAAGTTGATTTCCTCTTTTCAGTTTGGGTGCCCTTCATTCTTTTGTTTTATCTAAATGCTCTAGCAACTCTGCTAGTTCCATTACATCTAGGGTGCAGTTTAACTGTACACTTCTTTGTTGATTTTATGTCTTGTTTATCTGCCTACTTCTGAAAGTGGGATGTTAGTCTTCTATTATTGTATTAGAGTCTATATCTGTCTTTAGGCTTGTTAATATTTGTTTTTGGTATTTGAGTGCTACAAGTTAGGTACATATATATATTTATAAGGATTCTTTTTTCTTACTGGATTGAGCTTTTGATCATTATATAATGATCTGTCAGGCTCTTTTTTATAGCTTTAGATTTGAAATCTATTTCATCTGATACAAGTATGGCTACTTCTGTTTTCCTCTGGATTTGTATGTAATTGGTGTTATTTCTGTCTAAGCATTTGGTAAAAAAGTGAAGCCATCTGGGATTAGAATATCTTTTGGAGGGAACTTTTTAGTGAGTGTTTATTTTTGGTTATACTACTATAATGATTTTCTATTTCATTTGGCTGAATTTTGGTGGCTTGTGATTGAGTTAGTGATTTTTGGTCTGTATCTAGGTTTTTTGATTTATGATTTTTGATTATAAAACTTGTAAATTTCTTTTTACCCTTTTAGAGACTATAGGATCCATAGTTTCATTTCATTGCTAATATTGCATCTACCTCTGTGAGAGTTATCAATATTAGTGATTTTCCCCCAAAGAACCAGATTTTATTTACATTGAATTTTCTCATTTTTCTGTGTTTTCAGTTTTGTTGATTTTAAGATCTTATTTCTTTCACCTTCCTTCTGCTTACTTGAGCTTATTTGTTTTGTGTGTGGGGTTATTTCACTTGGTATAACATCTTCAGGGTTTATCCATGTTTAATAGGTATCAGAAGTTTATCTTTTTTGAGGACTATCTAATTTTTCATTATATATACTTAACACAGTTTTTTAATTCCTTAATGAACATTTGCTGTTTGTTTCCATCTTCTAGCTATTGTGGATAATGCTACTATAATCAGTGGTATACAAATAACTGAGTCTTACTTTGAATTATTTTGGGTGTATAAAGAAGAATTGATGGATTATACAGTACTTCTGTGTTTAATTTTTTAAGGAGCCACTGTGCTGTTTTCCACAGCAAGTAGACTCTTTTACGTTAGCTCCAGAAATGTACAATGGTTCCAGTTTCTTCACATTCCCATCAACACATGTTTTCTTCTAATGGATATAAAATGGTATCTCAGTATGATTTGCATTTCCCTGATGATTAGTGATGTTAAACATCTTTCCATGTGTTTATTGGCTATTTGTATATCTTTGGACAGATGTTTATTCAACTGGCTACCTTGGAGTTTTGTGTACTATTTTTTTTTTAATTATATAGATTTTTTATGTGTTCTAGAAGATAATTTGTTAACAGATGTGTGATTTGCAAATATTTTCTCCTATGGGTTGCCTTTTCACTTTCTTGATAGTATCCACTGATGCACAAAAGTTTTAAATTTTGATGAAATTCAATTTACATATCTTATTATGTTTATAATTTGTAGTTTTATAATTTGTCTCATACCTGTTATTCAGAGTTCTATACAGTTATTTGTTTATTTGTTTATCTAACTTTTTCAGAATCTCCAACTTCTGCCTTAAAAAAAAAATAGAAAATCACTAGAGGATCCATACATCTGTTACAAATGAAAAGTTTTTAAAAATGAATAACACTAAAAAAAAAATCTAGATGTACAATATGGCCCTTTCAGCTAGACTGAACAGGAGAAATATGTCTTATTTTTTGTCTTTTTACAATGACATTATATGGAGATGAAGTTTTTACTTATATAAATGTATAAACTGAAATTCATATAAGACAAGAACATGTCTCTTTGAAAGCATATATATTTTCTTATTATTTTTGTATGTTTTTAAGCATTTATTTACTTGAAAGGCAGAGTTTTACACACACACACACACACACACACACACGCACGCACACAGAGATTTTCCATCTGTTGGTTCTCTCCCCAGATGGCCGCAAGGGGGCCAGGACTGGGCAGGCTGAAGTCAGGACCCAGGAGCTTCATGGGGGCTTCCACGTGGGTGCAGGGGCCCAGGCACTTGGGCCATGTTCCTCTGCTTTCCCAGGATTATTAGCAGGGAGCTGGATTGGCAGTAGAGCAACTAGGATTCCAAATGACATCCATATGGGATGTTGGCAAATGACATCCATATGGGATGTTGGTGTTGCACTATGCCACTGCACTGGCCCCAAAAGTGTATATATTTTAAGGTACCAGGTGACTTTCCAAGGTGAGATCAAGATATATCTAAAATAATTTTTGCTGAATTTGCTTAAAAACTAGTTATCTTTTAATATTGAAATATATAAATATTTGTGGTTAATGGGTTACTTAAATTTAAAAGAACATATAGCAGGTTACATTTACAAGCAACTTGTAAAAATATTTATTAGGGAAAGAGAGAGAGAGAGCACTCTGCTTGTTCACTCCACAACTCAGTCCAGCTATCCTACCTGAGTGGCAGGAACTCAGTTACTTGAATCATCACCTGCTGCTTTCTAAAATCTGCATTAACAAGAAGCTGGAGTCTGGAGCCAGTGCCAGGTATTGAACTCAGGTACTCCAGTGTGGGACATAGGCATCTTAACCACTAGGCTAAACATCTACTCTAACAAGCAACATTTTAATTTAACCACTTCTCATTTTGAAATAACAGTTTCACATTTGAGTTTGATTTTTTTCAGAAAGAAAATATAAGTATTTTTCTTCTGATAATGCCAGTAGGTTCACTAAATAATTGCCATTTTCAAATAAAAATTGCCCATTATAGTAAGATTATTTCCATTTAGACATTATAAAATTTACTCTCTTGCTTACTGGTGTTATCTGATATATTCTTTAATGCTTATTACATTTTTATTTTGGTCAATTTTTAGGTGAATTATGTAACCTCATTACCCTGGATGTAGCCCACAATCAACTTGAACACCTTCCAAAGGAGATTGGAAACTGCACGCAGATAACCAACCTTGACTTGCAGCACAATGAACTGCTAGACCTCCCAGATACTATAGGTATGAGGGCAGAAAGATAATACTGATAGTTATTTGTAGCTGCCTGCATATTAAAAGAATTATTTTTTATTTCTTTTGATAATAAAAATTAGAGGTTAAAATTCAAAATTATCAGAGTAGAACTTCTAAGATAATGTTTTAAGAATGACTTTTCTATTTCTTGAGAAAGTAAGTTTTAGAAACTGAGCATTCACTGGGATTATAAAGAATATAGAATTTAGGTTGTGTATATTCTATTAAAGATTAAATTGCAGAATGAATGAGTTTTTGTTTATTTCAGAATGTTGTTGCATGCTGTTATATGAGATCTGATCCCATGTTTGTTGAAGTAGACTACATGGAAAAAAGAAAGCCATTGCTTTTTGGTTTTTAAAACTAAACAATGGTTAATATAGTCTAAAATTTATTCACCTATAATGCTGAGGGGATAAGAAATGTCTTGAAGTTCAAAATGTGTTTTTGAAGACTTTACCAAACTGTATGTAGTTGAATTGAACTAACCATGATTTGTTTTCTATCCGTAGTCTAGTTTATTTTACGTTGCCTATAATTAGAAATTTAAAAAGTATAATGTCTTTTTAGTTATTTTTGTTGTATAAGGATACTAACATGTTTACAAAAACTGCCTCTGATTTAATTTACATAGTTCAAGTAATGGATATTTCAGTCGTGCTACTAAAGATTTTGAGGCCTATGATGAGTTTATCTTTCTTCAGAAGGGGTTTTGTTTGCTTCTCTCAGGTACCCAAGGGGGTCTACTTTTATCTGTTACTGTTAAAGACTTCAGAGTTTTCTGGTCCTTTAGGTGAATCAAAACCTTGTTGCGGACTAATTATAAACTCTTTGACTTTTGGTTTGCCAATAGCAGGGTAGAGCTATGGAAGGTCCTACCTGATAGTGATTACCACAGTCCCCACTCTTGACAGATTTTGACTCTTTCCAGAAGCATGCTTTAGCATCTCAGCTCAGTCTTCTGGTTAAGGATGCTCTCTCAGGATAAAATTCTCTTGTGTTTTGCTTGTTTCTGGGTTTCTGGCTTATTTGTGGTCAGGTATGTAGTGATTATCTTGTTAGCTTCCTGACTTTTGGAAGATGTGTTTGTGTTGGTGGTGTTTTAAGTTTACTTATTTGAGAGGCAGAGACAAGAGGGATGTGGACAGGTAGACAGAACATACTGCGATGTGCTTTTTTACTCCACAAATGCCCCTAATTGTCAGTCTTGGTTTGGGGCCAAACCTCAGACTTAGGAACTCAACCCCAGTCTCCCTAAGCCTTTTCACAGGATCTGCATTAGTAGGAAGCTGGAAAAAGGAGCTCATGCTAGGGATTGAACCTATGTTTTCCAGGGTGAAACATGGATGTCCTGCATCTAAACCACTAGCCCAAATGCCTACACCTTTTTTACGGGTTTTTTTTTTTTTTTTTTTTTTTTTTTTTTTTTTTTTTTGGTAAACTTCGTTTGTGCCATCACTCATCATTAGTTCCTTTTTTTAATTAAGATTTTAAATAAACTTAAGATTTATTTATTTGAAAGGTGGAGTTGCAGGGGTCCAGGCAAGAAAGGCATGCAGAAACTTGGCCATATTCCCTAACCATGAGAATCTGTGCATACCTGATTCTTCACCCATGGCTCTTTCTATCATATTTGTAGTAGCAGCAGAGTAAGTGCTCTAGTTTTTACTGGTTTATAATTTCGATGCCTCTGGGAAAAGGCAAGATTGCCTGGGACACATGATGATTCATTCTGTAACATCCATCTGCTACATCTACAGTGAATATTTTATCAAATTTCCTATATAAATAAGTGAGTCAGATTTGTGGCTCAAGATAATAGAGGTTGAATACAATTATTTCTTGCTTTTCACTCGTTAAAATTTATGGAAATTGCCAAGATGATGAAAGAGAAGTGATCCTAGAAGAAAATGAACAAAGAATGAATATGTACTGCATCTGTAAGACATCTATAGGAAGTTCCCTAGAATCCAGAACAAAATGACAGAAATAAATGCAAAATAAATGGAAAGTTTAAGTCATGGGAGATAAGACTAGAAGCTCTAGAAAGAAAATAGCGGTAATATGACAAAGAAACTAATAACATATAATGTAGGAAAGTCTTTTTTGAACTTTCCAAAAGTCCAGATGAAACTGAAATTGTTTATCAAGAGAAGATAATAAAAAAAGATACTCTGGTATAAGTTTTTTTTAACTTTTAATTTCAGAGTAATTTTAAATTTTCAAAGCAAAAATTATGAAGTTGTATGGAGATCCTAATGTAACCCACATCCAACTTCCCCTATATTAACATATTAATATAGCTTGTCACAACCTATAAACCACACCCAGCTTTCCCTAGTAACAGCTCATATTAGTGCAATATACTTGTAATTAATAAACCACACTTAGCTTCCTCTGCCTTTTTTTTTTTTTTTTTTTTGGACAGGCAGAGTGGAAAGTGAGAGAGAGACAGAGAGAAAGGTCTTCCTTTTGTCGTTGGTTCACCCTCTAATGGCCGGCGTGGCCGGCGCGCTGCGACCAGCGCACAGTGCCGATCTGAAGGCAGGAGCCAGGTGCTTATCCTGGTCTCCTATGGGGTGCAGGGCCCAAGCACTTAGGCCGTCCTCCACTGCACTCCCTGGCCACAGCAGAGAGCTGGCCTGGAAGAGGGGCAACCGGGACAGAATCTGGCGCCCTGACCGGAACTAGAACCTGTTGTGCTGGCACCACAAGGTGGAGGATTAGCCTATTGAGCTGTGACACTGGCCCTGGGACGCAGGCCCCTCTGCTTTTTTAATGCAAACTCCAATCCACTCCTACCTCTCCCAGCCTCTAGTAATATCGATGTTTTTGTGTCCACATTGTGTTGTTTTTTTTTTTAATCTTTCACATATGAGGTAGAATATATGATATTTTTCTTTCCTGTGTTTGACTTACTTAACACAATGTCCTCTATCTATCCATTTTGCTAAAAATGACAAGATTCCATCTTTCTGTGACTAAATGGTATTCCATTATGTGTATATACCACATTTTCTTTGGCCATTCATCTGATGATGGAGACATTAGTTGATTCCATGTCTCAGTATATTATCGATCTTAGTATTGTATGTGCAATTGAATGTATTCTCCTTTTGGATAACGTGTTCCTTGAACATCACTCATAGCACAGATGAGAGAATCACTTAATTTGCTCTATTTCTTACTCTTTTGGGTGTCTGTGGATGGGTGGTTTTGGGTGTCTGTTTCCCTTCTAATTTTTGTTAGTTTACATTGTCAAGATAGGTACATACTACAGTATAGTAATCCCCATTTTTGCTTTAGGTTTAGTATTCATTAGCAGTTACATTGCTATAGTCATTTTTTAAATTGGTTAAAGTCTCTCATGTAGTAGTTTTCTCAGAAATTGTGGGAAAAGTAGTCCCTTGTAGTTCTTGTATGTTTCTAACCTATACACCTGAAAAATTGTTTGAGTGAGTGTGATATCATTGGCTCCAACTTCCTTTCCTTGAGGTCTGTTAGTGTTGAAAGTACAAAAATATAAGAGCAATCCAAATTTTCCCCCCTGTATATGTGACTTAATCTTTTTGCCTGGTTACCTAAAGGATTACTTATTTTTGAAATTCATGAACTGTATTTTATTTCTCAGTGATGATCTTCCAGGGTCATGTTTTTCTAGCATTCTCTGGGTCATTGTAGCATACAGCTTTAAGTTTTGTTTCAGTATAGCCGTCTTGGATTATGTCACGATGGTATTTAGTTTATGTTGTATTTGTCATTGAAATGTATATCTGTGAGTTTGCTTTTTTTGAACAATTAACTGGGATGGTAGAAGAAAAAAGAAAGGATAATGTGTAATCTCAACATCACTTTTCAGTGGAATGTCACATTAAAATGTCACTTTCAAAAAATAATTTCTTTTATGAAATCTAAAATCTTACTGCATTTAGAAAGAAAAACAAATGTTGATTGACTACAAATCAGTCAAGAAAACCAAATTTTAAGATACTTAAAGTGTTGCAAAGTTAGATTCTTTTCTCCTCACTGATGGTTAGCCACTGTGTGTTTCCTAGGACGCACTATTATTTCTTGAGCATATCAGGCAAGAACACCTCAGGGTCTTTGTACTTACCATCTTTCTAATTAGAACATTTTCTCTTAAATAGCCACATGAATTCTTACTCCTTCAACTGATCAAGTGGTTATATAGAGTGCAGTCATCAGTTAACCCTGTTCTGTTTCTCAGTCTAACATTGTTTAGTATTTTTATGCATGTCTGTGTCCCTGTCTTGTTAAATAACTATCCAAGGGGATGCAGTTAGAGGCATGTATTTGGCACAGCAGTTAAGACATCTCTGGTGACATACACATCCTATATTGGTGTGCCTGGTTTCAGGTTCCTGCTGCACTTCTGTTTCCAGCTTCCTGCTAATGTGCATGCTGGGAGGCAGCAGGAAGACATTAGCAGTAGTTGGGTTCTTGCTGCCCACATGGAAGATTGGGATTGAATTCTGGGCTCCTGCCTTTAGCCTGGCCCAGTCCCAGCTGTTGTGGGCATTTGAAGAGTAAAACAGGAGATGGAAGATCGATCTCTCTCTCCCTCCTCCTCCCTTCCTCTCCCTCTGCCTTTTAAATAAATAAAAATACATAATTTTTAAAAGGGGGAGATGTAATTAAAGTGCTAAAATGAATACTTCTGACAAACAGAAAGCATCAATAGTAGATGATAAAATCTGGAAAATAGAACTAGGTTCCTTTGGATTCACTTCTTCTAACAAAGCATAACTTCTCCATATGCCCTTCTTTATCCTGGTTTTCTTAATTGTATATTTCTCTCTTCTTTTAGAAGGAATTCTTTGTGTTTTAAGTGTGCTTTTTTTTGTTTTTAAGGTTTTGTTTTATTTATCTGGGAAGTAGAATTACAGAAACAGAGAAAGGTCTTCTACCTGCTGATTCACTCCCCTAGTGGTCACAATGGCTGGAAGCTGGGTTGATCTGAAGCCAGGAGCCAGGAGCCTCTTCCGGGTCTCCTACACGGGTGCGGGGGTCCAAGCACTTGAGCTGTCTTCCACTGCTTTCCCATACTATTAGCAGAGAGCTGGATCAGAAGAGGAACAAATGGAATGTGAACGGGCACTCACCTGGGCTGCTGGTGCTGCAGGCAGAGGCTTAGCCTACTGTACCACCGGGCAGCCCCACGTGTGCTTATTAATATGAATGCATTTTACTTCATTATTAATCTCTCAGAATTAAGATTTTATCTCAGACTAACGTTTGTGCCTCACCTCTAGTATATTCTCTGTGGTTAGGTTACATGTATGTATTGGAAATTAATGGGAACTGAAATATGAACAATAAGAAAATTTTAGATGATACTGCATTTATTTTATATGCTTGCTAGTTGTCATTAAATATAGTTTTTCTGAGTAATGACAAGGGTAATAAGTAATATTTATTGACATTTCATGATACTGTAGTAATTTTTCATTAGCCATTTTATTTAAAATCATTCTTTCCCCTTCCTCCATCTCTACTATGCTCAGTATTTTGATTGTGTATTTAATTTGGAATAAAATTTTAGTATTTGAATGTTGGTCCGTTAGAGTTCTCAGCAGTTTTAACTGACTTATTATTTTTTCCTCCCATTTATTAGAGAACAATTCACCCAGAACAGTTGGTTGTAAACTTAATTGGAATGATTCTTCTGAGACTTCCCCTTTTTAAAAATCCTATCCTAATTCTTGAAAAGCAATCATTGAAATGAAAAACAAACAGAAAACTTGGAGAACTGATGTTAGTCCTGTAGCAGCTGCCCTGCTCTAGGAAAGATTTTAATTTCTCCTCTCAAAATTGGATAAAGAGAGAAATAAGCAACAGAATCTTTCCTTCAAGGCTGGGGTGTACATACAGAACACAGAGGTCTTTTTGTTGTAAGGACTTTGAAGAAATATTACTATAATCATTATATCAACAACTAAGTTTTAGGTATTTACAATGTAACTTCTGTACAATAAGTGGTGGCATTCTTTTGAGTTTTTGACAATCAAGAATTTTTATATTGCTTTTCAGTTGCTGTTTTTCCAATTGAATTTTTCTGCAGGATTAATTCTATCTTTGACATTATTTCATCTTTATGGCTGTGTATCTTTCTACTTATTTTTTTATTTAGGTTCTTACTCAACAGTTATACTGAATTAACCTAAAGATACTGATAATATTTGCTAAAATTGAAAGCATTTAAATTTAAATTACAGCTATTTTAAATTCACCATATATCTGACAGTATAAGAAAACAAGTTGTAAAAGTAGAGCACAGAAAGAAAAAAAAGTAGAGCACAGAACAATTGATAGTCAAGGTTAAGCATATAAAAACTAAATGCCAGCGACTGGCAACTGTCAGCCTACATTTATACACAGAAGCTCAGCAACAGTGTTTTTTGTTTTTTGTTTTTCTTTAGCTGCTATGGCTCAACATTAAAAGCAAGCTGTGTCTTGATTCTAGGTTGTTGTTTAGTTTGTGGTTAAAACCACTCATTGAAAGAGGTTAGAGTTGAAACCACTGCAGAGAGTGAATCACAATAAATGCCAGACTTCTGATGTCAAGGTTTTGTTGGTCTTTTCTTTTTTTGTTGTTGTTGTTGTGTTTTGTTTTGCTGAGAGTAATGGAGAGTAATGGAGATTAATGGCCAAATGTAGATTTTTCTTTGAACATGCCTTAGTCTCAAGTAAGTGACAGGTCTTTTCAATTAGAATCACATATTCTAAAGGTTCAGTTTTTAAAAACTCCTTCCCACTCTACCAAAAAAAGAAAAAGAAGTACAAGTTTTATTTAAATTACCACTAATTTTGGTGCTAGTGTTTTATCTTGTAATTTTTAAATTCTAGACATCTATTCTGATTTAAAAAAAAAAAAAAGCTTGTTTTCTGAAAGGCGAAGTGCCAGAGAGAGTGAGAGAATTATCCTCTACCTTCTGGTTTATTCCCCAAATAGCCACAACAGCCAGAACTGGGTCAGGACAAAGCCAGGAGCCAGGAACTCCGTTCTGGTCTCCCACATGGGTGTCAGGGACCCAAGCACTAGGGCCATCCTCTGCTGCCTTCCTATCCTAGCCCATTATCAGGGAGCTAGATGGGAAGCAGAGCAGCTAAGACTTGATGCTGGGTTGTATCTCCAATTAGTCTTTTTCTTATAACTTCAGTCACTGATTTCTTTTTTAAAAAATAATTTTTACTTATATAAGGTGAGCAAATTTCCTGTGTTTCATAATCTAGTTTTAGGAGTATAGTGATACTTCCCTCTGTACCCTCTCTCCTGCCCATGCTCCCATCTTCCCTCATCCTCCCATTTTTATTCTCTCTGTTAATTTTTATAGTGACATACTTTTTGGTTTAATTTATGCACATAAGCTGAACCCTCCACTAAGTAAAGAATTTCAAAAACTAGTAAGAAGAAAAAAACTAAAAAACAATTCCTCAACATTAGAGAGACAGGGCTTTTAACAGTAAGCAAATCTCAAAATACCGGTTTCTCATACACATGTGGATGAAATTGGAAGCCATTATACTTAGTGAAATAAGCCAGTCCCAAAAAGACAAATATTGTGTGCTTCCCCTGATCGGTGGAAACTAGTAGAGTACAAAAACATGTAATGGATACAGTCACTGATTTCTTCAGCAAGAGGGAAAATTCAGATGAGTCATGATCATACAGGTAGCTGACATGGAATTTGCCACGTAGTCTTAGCGATGAAACTAGAAAATATCTAGGAAATAAAATGTTCTGCTTTTTATTTATTTGTTATTAATTAGTTTATGCTTAATGTGAATATGCCTATATAAGAGAAACTATGACTTTCAATATTGTTTATAATTATTTTTGATTGGGAAAATTTTTTTACCATCAGGTCAATTTTTCAGATATGTAATAGAGAATGTGTGCATCTTAGGTTTTAAATAATGCTATTTTGAGGGGGGTGGATTTCTCCAAAATTACATATACATTTTCCATAAAAATGGGTATTCTTTATCTAAAATGCTTGGGTCCAGAAGTCTTTCAGACCTAGGAGTTTATATCAGATTTTAGAATATTTGCATAGACTTCTTTGGTGAGCATTTCTACTCTGGAAGTCTGAAATCTGAAACTTTTGAGTGTCATATTGGTGCTTAGATAGCTTCAGGTTTGGAGCATTTTGTTTTTGAATTGTTTTATTAGAGATGCTCAATGTGTATAACTACTTGTTCTAAGTTAAATTATCACAAATACAAATGGGACAAAAAGCTTCATATAGACATTAGTGCAATGTGAGTAAATTAGGCCTTATTTAAACACTGATATGCCTGAATATTCCCAAACTTTCCAGTCATTCATTTAAAAAGTTAACTTACAGCTGTGGATTTTATTATTGCTCTAAGACCAGTGAATAGAAAAGTGATTTCAGTGTCAATCTGATTTATAGTGTAGTGTGTGGTTCCTTGGTACCAAGATTTAAGGATCTTGCTGAAATAGTACTTCTGAGTAACTTATAAAAACCCAGTAGATAACTATGATGGTAAGAGGCTCATGAGATTTTTTGAAAAATAACCCTCCCCCCCTTTTTTGTATTCACAGGAAACCTGTCCAGTTTAAGTCGTCTTGGTCTAAGATATAATAGACTATCAGCAATACCCAGATCATTAGCAAAATGCAGTGCACTGGAAGAATTAAATTTAGAGAACAATAACATTTCTACTTTACCAGAGGTAAGAAGTGGATTAGAGAAAACAGGACTTGAGATAAGTTTGCAAGATAATGCAGGAGAAACTAGAAAATCTTTACAGCTGGGTTAAAAAAGTTGATGATTGAGATTATTTACAAAATGAGTATCTTAAGGCCAGTGCTATGGCACAGCAGATTAAAGCCCTGGCCTGTAGTGCCAGCATCCCATATTGTGCCAGTTTGAGTGCCGGCTGCTCAGATCCAACTCCCTGCTAATGTGCATGGGACAGCACCAGAGGATGGCCCAAGTCCTTGGGTCCTGCACCCAAGTGTGAGACCCAGAAGAAGCTCCTGGCTTCAGATTGGCTCAGCTTTGGCAGTTGCAGCCATTTAGGTAGTGAACCAATGGACGGAAGACCTCTCTCCCTCCCTCCCTCCTCTCTCTCTGCCTCTCTCTATAACTCTTTGAAATAAATAAAATTAAATCTTAAAAATAAAAATAAAGTATCTTGTGTAGCTGGCACTAAGATAACAACTGAAGAAAGGTAAGAACATATTTGTTAATTTTAATGTGGAGAAGAAAGGAAAAACCATTGCAGTCAGTCACTGCATTCTCTTGTATCACCATATGAATATTTCTCATAATATTTTGGGAACTGGCAGTAAAAGCTATTAAAGTATACGGCTGGTTTTAAAACTCAGCTACCCTGCCCACCTCAGTTATAAAAAGGGAAAGTAAAAAAGATGAAAAGAATGCTGATTGTACGAATGCACTATTTATTATCATGATTAATATTAGCTACAACTCTCCTGTGACCCATGTTACTCTGTTTATGCAATGAAATTAAAGGCCATTTAGAATGTAACAGTCATCAGAATCTGTTATTTTTAATGCATTATGTTTAATCCTAGCTTTGCTGATTCTATTAGAAAATATTTTCACTTATTCCACTTTGAGATTAATTGACTAAGGCATAATACTTAATTGTCTTTCTCAACATTATTTTCTTTTGTCTTTCCTTTTTGTACCTACTGTACTCAGCAATGTTAGTTTGCTTGTAGAATTTTAACAATAGAAAGAATGGGATTTTAGATTTACAAATTGAGCTTTGCAAAATGCTTTCTTTCTAACAATTAAAATTGTCATATAAGTAGCCCTACAACATCTTCACTATTGCTAGTTTTTTAGTGCATACACATGTGTTTGCATGTATGTGTATTAAAAATAAATATTATTTTGGTTAAATGTTTTATGAAGATTTATAGCAATTCTGTTACAAATTTCAGTTGACTTGTTCCTTAGGAAGACAAAATAAAGTAGCACCTATTAACTTGATTCCTCTTAATTTGAGTGCTTGTGTTTTCACAAAACAGCTTGGATGAGTATCCCAGGACTGTGTTTTCTAGGCTGGACCAAGTCACTAAGACTATTACAGCAATATCTTAACCTGTGACAAAGAGATGCTATTGGTAGTAGCAGTTTGTTGGAGCAAAATGCACAGATTGCAGTCCTGAGAACTAAACCGTCTGGATTTTTGAACTTCTGTTATAGTGGTAAATTAGGATGATCAAAATGGGTGAGGTTGTACTGTTTAATGCCATCTCTCTCCCCTTTTCTAACAGTGATTCATAGCTACAATAAGGCAAACAATTAGCACATTACTTAAGCTTCTTTTTACTTGTGATTTGTGAGCTTTAGGAAGGTAGACCTAGCTTTTACAGTGTCAATATGCCGATCAAACTTCATACGATGAAAAAACTTTTTGTATATCCAGTCTTACTGTCAGTGAAGGGAAATTAATGATTGTTGGGCGTCTTAAAATACAGACATTGTGATATTTTGTGACTGAATAAAGGATTTTTTTTAAGATTTATTTATTTCAAAGGCAGAATTACAAGGAAAGTGGAGAGGGAGATAGATTAATCTTCCATCCACTGGTTCACTGCCTGAATAGCTGCAATGGCCAAGGCTGGGCCAGGCTGAAGCCAGGAACCAGAAATTCCATTTGGATCTCCCACATGTGTACAGGGGCCCAAGTACTTGGGCCGTCTCTGCTTCCCCAGGTGCATTAGTGGGGAGCTGGATCAGAAGTGGAGCAGCTGAGACTCGAACCAGTGCTCATTTGGGATCCTGCCATTACAGGTGTGGCTTAACCCGCTGTGCCAGATTCCAGCCCCTGCAATTTACTTTTTTTTTTTTTTTTAAGAGAAGTTTAGGTTCAGCAAAACTGAGTGGATTATACAGAAATTTCTCATATATTGTTGCTCTCAAACATGCATAGCCTCCCCAACTATTAACACGTCCCCCAACAGGGTAGTATATTTGTTATAATCAGTGAACCTGCATTGACACATCATGATCAACCAAAGTAAGTACTTTACATTAGGGTTCTTTCTTGGTGTTCCATGTTCTGTGACTTCAGATAAAAGCAAAATGACATGTATATACCATTATAGTATCATACAAAGGAATTTCACTACCCTGAAAGTCCTTCATGCTCCAGCTGTTCATCTCTCCCACTCCCTAACCCCTGGCAACCACCCATCTTTTCACTTTTGAGGATTATAAAGAGACAGCTCTTTTTTTCTGGTTGTTAAAGAATGCGTGTGTGTGTGTGTGTATACAAACATGTATTTAAACTGATCTATTTTCAGATAGAGATGCTACAGGGAAACCATATTGACCTTTTCCAAAAATAAGAAAGCATTATGTCTTACTAAAAGTAGTCTGTGTATTTTGGAATCAGTATATTCTTAATGCGAATGGATGCTTATCTACAGTTCTAGTAAGCACTGTAAGGAAAACAAAATCAATTAGGTATCAAGGGACATTCAAATTGAGTTAGACAAAAAATCATGAAAGTAATTTTCATTGGGAGCTCGTATTGCTCAACTCAGAGCTGGCAAAGTAACTGTTTCATTTGAGGATGATGTGAAAATGGATTAGTTTAATTGCAAACATAAACACATAAGGAAAAAATTTAATAACTTTAAGCATATATATTCAAGGCATGTAGCAGCTCTACATATATGAGAGTACTTCATAAAGTGTATGGAAAAGGGATTAAAAATGTTTATTTTGGTGTGAAAATGTTCGAAATACTTGCATCATTTTTGGTAATATGTATTTTCATGACTCTTTGAAGATCTCTCATTTGAATGGATTTAAAATCATACCAAAATAAACACCTTTTCTTACAAAAAAAAGAGAGAGAGAGAGGTATTTTTTTTGAAAGGCAGAATGACACAGAAGGAGAGACACAAGAAAGATCTATCTTTTGATTCACTTCCCAAGTAGCTGTAATGGCCTGGACTGGGCTAGGGTGAAGCCAGGAGCCCAGAACTCCATTTGGGTCTCCCATGTGGGTTGCAGGAGCCCAAGCACTTGGACCATTATCTGCTTCTTTTTCGTTAGGGAGCTGGATTGGAAGTGGAGCAGCGAGACTTAAATAGGCAGTCCCGAATGGGATGCTGGTGTTACAGCAGAGGCTTAACCACAATGCTGGCCCCAGTAAACACCTTTTAATTCCATTTTCCTTGAAATTTTTGAGGCATCCTTGTCTTACCCATTTAATTCTCAGTATAGTTCCATTAATTATTGTGATAGTGTCATCCAATAGATTGGGGAATAAAATTTGAGAGTTTATGTTTTTGACCAAATTTGTTACCTTAAATATTTGGAGATATGGTAAATGATCCATTGATTATCTAATTAATTCACTGGAGCTGAGAAAACTTAAGTAAATAATCTAAAATAAATAGGAACCTATATGTCTGATTCAAAAGCAATAATAAGCAACCTCCAGATTACACCATAGAACTTAAGACATAAATTAAAGAGCTGCCTTTTGTTTCTCCTTCTCAAACTCAAATATTAATGTTTTATCACAGAAGAATACCAGCTCAATAGTTGTGATATTTGTAAGTGATTTTTTTGCTATAAGTTTTGATAAAATCCCTTTATTTTTGATGAAGTAGACTGTAGACATTTTCCTTAATTGAGCACCATGCAGTTTGTGTCATCACTGCTCTTACCTGCATTGTTCGTTTCATTCATGTACAACAATAGTCATATATTACAGATAGCTCTTTAAGGTTCACTGTAAAGAACAAGCTTCAGTTGACTGTAATTACATCTTCAGTTATATGGTGACTGTATTTTTTCAACTGGCTTTGCCAATTATACTGGCACCTCAGGCATTAAGTTTCCCATTTGCTCATGGCGGATAGGTGAAGGTTGAACATTATTTAAAGTTCATATGCATCTTACATTGTGCTTGTTTCTATCTTTTTGTGCTTTTACTTAAATCTAGAGTGTTTTCTGCTACTCTGAATATTTGGAAATTTTTTTTCATCCTGCAAGATGATGCTCATTTTCAGCCTCCTCCTTATGTTTCCAGTCTTCCTTCCCTTATTTTTGAATTTAAATAGAAAAGGGATTTAAGATTTAAGTACTTGCTGTAGACTAAGTATTGTACAACTATGTTTTATGTCTCTTAGTCTTCACTATAACCCATAAGGCACTGTTTTTTTAGAAATGGATTAGCTAAAATTCAGAAAAATAAAAACTTGCCCAAAGTCCCAGAGTATTATAACATAGAGCCAGGATTTAAAATTGTCTTACAGCTTTGTACTAGTGCTTCCTACATGTTATTGAACATGGGGGCCAGTGCTGTGGCGCAGTAGGCTAGGACTCCACCTGCAGCGCTGGCATCCCATGTGGGTGCCAGTTTGTTTCCCAGCTGCTCTTCTTCCCATCCAGCTCTCTGCTTATGTCCTGGGAAACTGGATGATGATCCAAGTGCTTGGGCCCCTGCACCCGCATGGGAGACCTGGAAAAAGCTGCTAGCTTTGGTCTGGCTGAATCCTAGCCAGTAAGGCCATTTGGGGAGTGAACTAGTGGGTAGAAGATTCTCTCTCTCTCTCTCTGAGTCAGTCAGTCTCTCTCTCTCTGTATATACATATATATAATATATATATATATATAATTTGTGTAACACTGCCTTTCAAATAAATAAATCTTTAAAAAAAAAACTCACAAGCAAATGTCTAAATGTGGGTCTTTAAAAATTAGAGATAGGTGCTTAACTAAGATCTAGAAAGAACTAGTTGCATAGCCAGGACAGAGCAGGACTTGTACCTGGGGTCACTGGGTGCCAGGAGATACCTCTCATCCACAGACAAGTTTTCTTTACTCCATAAAGTGTTTTAAATAAATTGAAGTCAAAGGAAAAAAATCAGAGCAATTTCCTGTACTTCTAAAATCTGGAAATCTGACTACATCGACTCCATATTTCTTCAAGGCAGTAGTTTGCTAGAACTGAATAGTAGACTCTCCTGCAGATGAGGTTTGCTAGAAGTGGCCCAGCCAGTCTGTCATTTGCTACCTCAAGGCCCTTTAGGCATTTGTGTTTATTTGGGACTGCTGCTGTTTGCAAAATAAGTCGTTACAGTTCTAATTCTTATGCTTATTTCATTTTCTTGTTTATTTTTTACAGAGTCTTTTATCTAGTCTTGTGAAACTGAATAGTTTGACTTTAGCTAGAAATTGCTTCCAGTTATATCCAGTAGGTGGTCCATCTCAATTTTCCACCATCTATTCTCTTAACATGGAACACAATCGAATCAATAAAATCCCATTTGGGATTTTCTCCAGAGCAAAAGTATTAAGTAAGCTGAACATGAAGGTAAGCTTCTGTTTTTCTTGGAGGGAGAGGGGGAGAAAATTACTAACAGTTTTACTAATGTTTGTATTTTCTCTGTGTGTAGAATGGATACTTAAACCTTGCTAATGGGACCTAAACTGATAAGGATACTTCAGGGTACCTTTTCTCAGATAGCAATTGTCTTAGAACCACATATGTCCTGAGGAATTCATTATCAAGAAAAAGAATCAATCATGAATGTCCATAAAGTATAGTAAGGATATTTATTGCAGAGCTGACTTATTACATAGATACCACTATATTAATACCAGTGTGGGTTTAATATTTTTAGGTAGTATATCTTCAAGGAGGTAGTATGGAGCCATTAAAAGTTATACTGTAGTCTAAAAGAATTTTAAATACCATTTGGAATCTCTATGTATTAAATAGAAGGAAGTTAAAGCATATAAAAATCTGTTTAAACATAAACAGCTTTTAAAGGCTGTTTAAAGAATTTTGTATTAAAATATCCATGTTTCTATGCATACATACAGTTGCTATTTTCCAAAGTATAATGTTTATCATTGGCTATCAGAATTATTTATAGGGGTAGAGTGGGACAGGCATTAGGTTAAGACACTTACATCCCATTTCCAGTTTTGATTTCCACTTCCAGTTACATACTGCATTTTCTTGCTAATATAGGCACTGACAGGTAGCAGGTGACCTGGATTGAGCACCCAGCCCCTGGCATTGGCCCAGCCCAGTCCTGGCTGTTGCACGATACTTGGGGGGAATAAACCTGTGAATGGGAACACTTTGTCTCTCTTTTTCCCTTCTCCCTCTCCCTCCTTCTTTTTTCCCTCTCCCTCTTTTCCCTCCCTCTCTCCCTTTCCTTTTCTCCCTCTCCAAAAAATAAAAATTTTAAGAATTAGTTATGGGTAGTTTTTAGTTTCTTTTTTACTTATCCACATATTCTATAGTGAAAGAGTTGCACATTTGTAACAAAGTTATTGTGAAAGGAGAAAATAAATAGAAAATTATCTAGTTCAGTGATTTAATTTACAGTGAGCAGACTTTAAGCCCAGGGATATAACTGAGTTGGCTACATAGCTTATTTGTGGCTGAGTTAGGAATCCAGGAAACAATGTGCTAAGAGTCATTGTTGATGAAGTATGTTTTACAAATGATTGTATAGAAGCAGGAAAATAGTGGTGACTCATTTAAAAAAATTTTAGCAAAATTAATTCTTACTCTTTATTATCTGCTTTTATTTAGTGATAAACATTTTATCCTAGGGATTTTTGAAGTGAAATTGTAGATAATTAATGTTTTAGTGATTTAATTTGTAGTCATATTAAGACTATTTTTTCTTCTCCTGCTTTACTGCTCAGCATCTGTAGTACAAATTCTAGATTCCTTGCTTTCATTTTGAGCTATGTCTTTTTAATTACATTCCTATCTTTATTTTAGCATTTACATGTTATTCAGTGATTTCTGCACATTATTGTGTATTATGTTTATCAGAATCTTTGAAATACCAAGTATTTCTCTGTGTAGCATATGTGTTTTTCTATTTCCATGACAATCACATAAGGAACAAATTTCTAATTAACCTCAAAATAAAAACCTGGTGGCTAGTGTTGCGGTGCAGCGGGTTAAGCCTCTGCCTACGACACCAGCATCCCATGTTGGAGCACTGGTTCAAGTCCTGGCTACTTCACTTACTCTTTGGCTCCTTGTTAATGCTTGGGAAAAGCAGTGAAAGATGATCCTTGTGCTAGGGCCCGTGTCACCCACAAGGGAGACAGAGTAAAACCATCTGAGGGAAGATCTCTCTGTGTTTCTTCCTTTCTCTCTGTTATTCTGCCTTTCAAATAAATAAAATTAATCTTTTAAAAAAAGGAAAAAATAAATAAAAGCCTGATTATTGTGTGAAAAACTTTGGAGCCTGAGAGTTTTTGTTGCTTATTTTTTTTCCTCTTTGTCTTTTTGTTGTGTTGCTTTTTCTTTCTATATTTAGGTATCAAAAAAGAGAATTAAGTTTTCTGGTTAAGAATTATTTACAGCCGGCGCTGCAGCTCACTAGGCTAATCCTCCGCCTTGCAGCACCGGCACACCGGGTTCTAGTCCTGGTCGGGGCGCCGGATTCTGTCCCGGTTGCCCCTCTTGCAGGCCAGCTCTCTGCTGTGGCCCGGGAGTGCAGTGGAGGATGGCCCAAGTCCTTGAGCCCTGCACCCCATGGAAGACCAGGATAAATACCTGGCTCCTGGCTTCGGATCAGCGTGGTGCACCGACCGTGGCGGCCATTGGAGAGTGAAGACCTTTCTCTCTGTCTCTCTCTCTCACTGTCCACTCTGCCTGTCAAAAAAAAAAAAAAAAAGAATTATTATTTACAAAGGTAGAGAGCTCTGTTTTAGGAGCTTTGCCTTTATGGTTCTACCTGGCTTCTTTTTGTCTTTGCTAGGACAATCAGTTAACATCTCTTCCCTTGGATTTTGGAACTTGGACTAGTATGGTAGAGTTGAATTTAGCTACTAATCAGCTCACAAAGATCCCTGAAGATGTGTCTGGTCTTGTTTCTCTAGAGGTGAGTATAAATAACCATTTTGAACTCCTTAGAGACTTCCACGAATGTCTCATAAAATTTCAAATTAGAACAAGTAATTTTTGTTTGGGATCACAATTAGAAATGTCAGAATTCTCTTAAACATACAACCTATTTGGTTAAAGATGCTTAGCCTAGGCTAATGCTTTTGAATTGCTCTTACCCACTAAAGTTTGGTAGAAGTTTGAGTATCATTGAAAGGAATGTGCTCGGGGCCAGTGTTATAGCATAGTGGGTAAAGCTACTGCCTGAAATGCTGGCATCCCATATGGGCACTGGTTCAAGACCTAGCTTTTCCACTTCTGATCCAGCTTCCAACTGATGTGCCTGGGGGCCTCTGTACCCATGTGGGAGATCTGGAAGAAGATCTGGCTCTCAACCTAGCCCAGTCTCAGCTGTTGGGGCCATTTGGGGAGTGAACCACAGGATGGAAGATCTGTCCTTGTCTCTCCCTCCCTCCCTCCCTCCAACTCTGACTTTCAAATAAATGAATAAATCTTAAAGAAAGAAATGGTCTTGGAAGCTAAGCATCTGTTAGAACTTTTTTCCCCTCTTAATTTTAAGAATGACACCATTGTTTTCATAATAATTATGGATTCTTTAGATGGGCATTCGGAACCATTTATCATATTGCTCCGTCTAAATTTTCCATCCTAATTACCCACCTACTGTTGGAAATTCAGTATGCATATTTCTAGCTCTGTATGTTTAGTCCTATTGCTTTCAATATTTAGAATGTCCTTTTTCTCATCTCCTTATTCTTTTCTTTTAAAATGAGTTTCTGTAAAGATCTATCTTAATATTTCAGTCAAGATATTTCTCATATCTCAAGTCCCTGGGGTTTTCATTTTTTTTTATGAAATGCTTCCTAATAGTAAATACTGTTTTAAAAATTTTCCCATACCTGTATTTAAAAAAAAATCTAATTTCCATTTATTATTTAATGAGATGAAATAGTATGATGTAATGGTTAAAGCATGGAATTTGAAGTCAGCTAGATTTGGGTACAATTCCAGCTTTCTCTCTATATATATTTGTGAATTTAATTCACCTTTAGTTTCCTAAACTGTGAATTGGGGATAGGATTAAATGCAGTAATGTACATAAAACATGAGTACTATGCTTGCAAAGAGTAAACTCAAATGATAGCTGTGATTATTTTGTCTTATTATATGTAGACATGTATATGTTTATGTATGTGTATAAGTATATATTTTTTGAGTTGTATAATTGGGGAAAATAAATGGCATAAAAATTAGCCAGAATGTTTTTAGTTTGTAACTAGACATTTGTGACATTCAAATAGTATAACAGTAACTATATGAATCTCAGGGCAAATAATCTATTTTTTATAGCAGTTAAAATGAAATTCTCTTATTTTCATTAGTTTTGACATAAGCAAATAAAAAATCTCTAATAACTATGGTGATGTGTTTTCAATTGCAAATCAGTGAATTAAATATTATGTTATATAATTGAATGTTACATATATTATTTACTGTTTGGAAAATTAGCATTGCTTAATGAATTTTAAGCTACGTAGTAGTAATCAATAATTCCGTTTTATGAGTTATCAAACTGTCAACAATCTGTCTTTAGGTTCTAATATTATCAAACAATCTTCTCAAGAAGCTTCCCCATGGTCTTGGAAATCTTAGGAAGTTAAGAGAGTTGGATCTAGAGGAGAATAAATTGGAATCCTTGCCAAATGAAATTGCTTATCTTAAGGATTTACAGGTAAAAACATTGTCCTGATAGTTTTATAGTTAAGATCTTTAGAATCCATTCCAAATTGCACTTTTTTTTTTTAAATATTTTGATCTCATTCTTGGACCAGATAAATTTTCCTATTATAGTCATTTGGCTGAGTTTTATGTTCAGATAACTCTTGTCATCCTAAAAAATGATATTTTTTGAAAGACAAGCCTGTAAGTTGATTCTTATCACATCTAATTTCCTTTTTATTTTATTCTTGAGTAGATGTATTAAGTTTATAGTAGTTGTAGAAAATATATATGCAATTTATTTTGTTAATCTTTTAGAAATTAGTCTTGACAAACAACCAGTTGACCACTCTTCCCAGAGGCATTGGTCACCTTACCAATCTCACACATCTAGGCCTTGGAGAGAACCTACTTACTCATCTTCCTGAAGAAATTGGTAAGAACCCTATGAATGCTTGGCTATGTACTAATAATTTGCTTTTGTATATGCAAGCAATATTATAATAAATACAAGAAATGTGTTTTTGTAAATTAAGGTTACATCAGGCTTGAGATGTTTTTATAGAGCACCAGTTGTTGATTGATTGTTTGGGCTAGATTTTCTCATGGGGTATTAGGATTAACAGAATTTGAGAATGTTTTTTGTATAGGTTATAAATATAATCTCAATTTAGAGAGCTATTTTCTGTTTTTTTCAAATTTTAAGCTCATAGGCTTGAATTAAATTAGTATAACATTTTATGCCAAAATATTTCTTTATGAAGTTTTAGGGTCAATATTAATATTTGATTAATATCAATATTTGGGAATACTTCAGGATTTTTCAAGTGTTTTCCTTTTCATTATTTTACGTAAAGAACCTTTATTTCATAAAACCCCCCTTAAATATTAGGCAGTGTAAATTGTAGTCCCTTTTTACGGAGTTAATTAAGTAAAAAGTAGTTCTTGAATTAGTAATTCTATGTATTATGTTGTTCCATGTGTAGTGTGCTATCCCAGAGGTACTATAGATTACTAAATAAGAATGATTTTGGAGATAGTAGACAATTCAAAATCTGTCTTTGTGGCTTATTAGTTTTGTGACTTTGAATAAGATATGTTAACTCCACAATCCTCAGACTTCTTATCTGCAAAATAAGGTTGATAATAGTGACTTCTCACAGGACTGCTTTAAGATTAAGTAATGTGTTACATGTAAACAAACCCATTACTTGCTACCTGTTAATTTTATTAGCCTTTCAATGAAATTTGAAAAGTCCAAATTTTGAAGTTTAAAAACTGGAAGCCCCATGAGGCAACTTTACACTCATATTTCTAATGTATTTCTTCAGCTGGCCTCATGTAATTGCTTGAGTCATTTGCCTAAAATGTATAGGTATCTAAGAGTATAAAGATTATTTAAGTTCAATTTTGGTTCATTATTAAATGCATGGCAACTCTCTTAATGAAAGATATAAAAACCAAGTAGGAAAAACTTTCCACATGGGAAATTTATTAACATGACCAGTTTTCATATTGTCTATAACAGAACTGCGATTATAGACACTGAATATAAAATAAACTTAGCTCTGCAGTTCTAAAGTATATTTTTAAATAAAATATATATGTGTGTGTGTGTATATATATATATATATAAAAAATTGTGTGTGTATATATAAATGGCAAACTTTCCTAAATTGAATATCTGAAGATGTAGAGCTCCTGTGTATTTTCCAAAAAAGAAAAAAAAAAAAAAAAATCTCTATAAGCCTGAACCCCAGCCAATAAAGGAAGAGGTGCTGATTTAGTTAGTATGGAGTGTGATTTGGACATCACAGTTCTTTAAAATCTTCCCACTTGATTTGAAAATACAGCAGTGTTTGAAACAGTTGTAGAGAGTTTTAAGAGAGAAGAGAATAAAAACAAATGTAAATTAAGTATATATAATGCTAAGGATAACATCATGCCCAGGTAAACTTAAAATAGTAGGTAATTTTAAAAAAATCATAATTTTTTTTTTTTTTTTAAAACAGGTACACTGGAGAACCTAGAAGAACTGTATTTGAATGACAACCCCCACCTGCATAGCCTTCCCTTTGAACTGGCTCTCTGCAGCAAGCTTTCAATCATGAGTATTGAGAACTGTCCACTCAGTCACCTTCCACCTCAGATTGTTGCTGGGGGGCCTTCTTTCATCATTCAGTTCCTAAAGATGCAGGGTCCATATCGTGCCATGGTCTGATACAAACCTGCTGGTCCCACACACTGTTCAAAAATAGACTGCCATTAATGTTTCATATCTATATCTGTATCTATTTATGTAGATATTGATATATATGGCAGATTTAAAAGACTGCATTATGTGTTTCTGCTAATAGAGGAATCATAGCCATTTAGATTTTTTTTAATTCTGTACAAAAGGCTTAAATAAGATTTCTTTGCTGAATTTGATGGATGTTTTTCTGTTGTGTAATCTGATATGCCAATTTGTGTAAAACATTTGCCAACAAATTATGAAGTTACTAAATTTAAGGGACTGAGGCAGTATAGTTAGGTATACTTTCTCGTAGGAAGCAGATATTGGGCAAAAAATTTTGTTGCAACTTTTCATATACATTTTCCCCTTTCCAATTGTCAGATATTTATAGGCCCAGAAGGTAGAATTTTTCTTTTAACTTATTTTGAGATTTGAGATTTAAATTTTATATATTGTTTACAGTCAGAGTAAATCACTGGATTTTTTTTCCCCTTTGGATTTGATTTGCTCTGTTTTGATCAGATCTAGACTTTATATCCTTAGCTAAAGAGTTTGCATCAGCTCATTTAAATATTAAAAGATATTGCTTGAGACAGCTGGCAAAGTGAAAAGATACTGGTGAAAGTCTAGAATTCCTTTAATTGTTGTTCTTTGATGAGTTGTGAAGCAAAGCATCTGAAATGAGTCCTTGGATAGGGGGAGGATGTTGAGACCTTTTATAGTATTAATATCTTTTCTGAAGTTGGGGGCAACAGAAACATGTAATGAAAATGAGTTTTGTCATTCCTGAAAATTGCAGATCCATGAAAACTAGCAGAATCATTTGGTAAAAAAGTAAATAAATTACCCATAAACACACATTCTATATATGTATATACAATGCTATATAGATATGTATTTATTATCATAAACTACAATAGGTAACTTTAAGGATTTCTCCCTATCCTTGTACAATGAAATGAATGTCTTTCTTTGAAAACTGCAATATATGTACGTTTCCAGGTTATTTAACAGTGTACTATGGTTTTATATCTTGACTTGCCTGGTACATCTTTCAGTTCTGGAATATTTGTGTCTAAGCACAATATCTTCACACTGTGCTATATTGCTGCTGAACTAAATGCACTTTTCCCCACATCTGGGGCACTCGCTTCAAACAATTCAGTTCAGTACTGTTACCTTTAATTTCACCTTTTCTTTCTTGGTAGTTGGTAGTACAATTATGGAAAAGAAGCACATTACATAGAAGCCATTGGTAGTTCAGTGGAGGTTCTTGTAAGATGTGCTATTTGATGTATTTTTTTGCTTTACTGCTTTTTAAAACCAGCAGTATTGTAAATGTGTGCCCCTTATGTAGTCCTTTTACTTTTCGTAATGCTGGTCTAAGTCCGTTTAATTGTTAGAGACTCACAGAGCAAGTGCATTGTAGATATCCTAAAACACACTTCCCATATAATGACTAACTATTACATGTAATTACATAATGCTGCTTATTTTTTTTTTTCATTTAGTTGGGCATTGTGTTTTAAACATAGCCATTTCTTTTTTTGAATTAAAAGTATATTATTGAGATAGCAATTTAGACTGTTTTACTTTTCCTGGCTCTCAAATTCAGGACTAGGTTTGAGGTCAAACTTTTGTTCATAATTGGCAATTTTATAAGAAGCAACTAAGAAATGGAAGGCAGGTGAAGATATAAAACCCTAGAATGCTTAAATGTGCTGTAAAACTATTGTAGATGTCACTGGATTTTACCAAGTATTATCCGTTCTTTTTTCCATCTACTGTGGCTTTTCAGTTAAAATTTTGTTTATAAAAGGAATTTATTACAGCTCTACCTAGAGCATGTGTGTATGTGTGGTTTTTTGAATCTCCAAATATGTTCATAGAGAAATATCGAACTTGAACATTAAAGGTAGAATATAATGTTTTTTCTATAAAAATATGATTATTTCTTAAAATCAAACTAGATATGATTTTTAAATCATTTTGGTTCCTTTACCTGTATTTACATGTTAATCTGTAACAGACATGCAGAATGATTACATGTAGAAATGATGCTCACATGTAAACCATACATAGCTAAGGAGCTTCATACATTTTTTAAGAAGCATAAAACTTGTAAGGGTACTTTGAAAAGTGTGTGGTAATGCATATTATTAAGGAACTGTGCATGGATTTAAGTTTTTTACACCAAAATAACATCTTTTAACTTCATTTTCCACAGCCTTTGAAGTGCCCTTTGTGTCCCCCCTTTACGGCTGCCACCTTGTAAGAGCCCATGCATTTTATTACTTCTTTTCCCAAGAAACCAGACTCTCCTTGTGAAATCAAGATATTTACTATTTAAGTAGCTTGAATATAATAAGGGATATTGTTGAATGACTGCATATGAACCAATATTTTTCAGTGGCATTAATGTATCCAAACATTTCTTTTAAAGAATTTATTGTTCAGTCATTCTGAGGCTCAGTAAATAAAATGAGGATGTCAGGTTGTTAGGTTGTAAACAAGTTGCTCTGAACTCTGCTGTTGGTGCATATGTAGCAGCAGAATGGCGGTGGTAATGTCAAACAATCCTTTTGTGGGAGTTTATTTTTTAAATCCAAAGTAGTTTTTCACAGAGTAAGGAGTGCGAGATGCTGAATACAATGTCAGATTGATGAATACTAATGAAAATAGTAGAGGATAGAAACTCTTAAAAGGAAGAGTAGACATAAAATGTTTATTGTATTTATATTAAAACATGGGTTATATAATTTAGAATGTGCTCTAAAAATATAATTACATATATCCAGTTTATCATGCACAGTGTGCATCATTTAGGATGGATAAATTGTTCTATTATCACAATTTATCTTGTTTTTCTTTTTTTTTTTTTTTTGAGGTAACTTGTTAAAAACTTTTTGCCTTTCATCTGTTTCTTAGTTATCTGCATGGAATCCAGATTTCAGCTTGTAGAAATTATAATTTTTATTGATATGAATGAGTAGTAATTAAGTGTATAAAATACATTTTTGCAAAGGAAAAGGGGGTACTATTGACAGTTAATATTGTGCCAACAGCCTACAATACATCAGAACTTTCCCAGACAAATCAGAATACATGGTCACACTTACCTGATTAAAATTTGATGAAAGCAGATGATATAATTGAAAAGATATAGGGGAGGAATAAATTCCTGAATTTAACTAAAATGAATAACTTGTGAAGCAAAGACTTCTGTCTGTCCAGAGGATAAGATGATGACATTGTATCAGATAGCTAAAATGTACTGGCTTGGGTCATTCTTTTGATTAGTTTAGTTTTGGGAAGTCAACTGGGTGACTGGAAAAAGCATGACAATCTTTGATTATCTAGAATCTGAGAATTTGAATATGCGAGTTTTAACCTCAAGTATCTTGAACATTACACTAAGAAAATATTATGGGAGTGTTTTGTAAAATAGCTGTTAGTACTTTTGTTTTTGAATAGAATGTCTTCTGGTAACACTGAAGAAACATTTCTGGGTTTATTTTTAACTTTGAAAAATAAAGAAGGGTTTTTTTTTATTTTCCATTTTTTAAAAACTAGAACTTGGTTGTCATTACTCTTAAAAATGCTTTTTCTTGTACACACTTCTCAATTATCCCACTGACATACATTCTAAATATAAATTGTTTTGAATGTAAATACCTGTTTGTGTTTAGTACTTCTACTGGTAGCAGTTCATAATATTTCAGTGTAGGAATGTCTTCCTGTCTGGTGGGAGGAACAGTTTCCACAGTGGAGAGTAGTTGGGACAAGGCTGTCATGTGCAGGCTTTGCAGTTTATGCAGTGTACAACTACATTATGTGTTGGTGGAGATGTTCATTCACATCCTAGATTGGTATTTTTATTATGACTTTTTAAAAAAAGATTTATTTTATTTATTTGAAAGAGTTAGAGAGAGAGCCAGAGGACAGAGAGGTCTTCCATCCGATGGTTCACTCCCCAAATGGCCATAAGGCCAGAGTTGAGTTGATCCAAAGGCAGGGGACAGGACCTTCTTCCGAGTCTCCCACACGGGTGCAGGGCCCCAAGACTTGGGCCATCTTCTATTGCTTTTCCAGTCCATAGCAGAGAACTGGATTGGAAGTGGAACAGCCGGGACTCGAACTGGCACCCATATGGGATGCCAGCGCTGCGGGCCAGGGCTTTAACCTGCTGCGCCACAGCACCAGCCCCATGACTTTTTTTTTTTAGCAGATGTCAGTTAATTTCTTCCAACAAGATTAACATGCTTTGTCAGTTTCTAACAGATGGAAGTAAAGAGTCTTGAAGCCTCAAAGATGGAGCATTTTTTTCCTCACTCATAAAATGATGCTAGTTGGGCTAGGGTGGAGATTCAGTCTTTGGGCAAATTATAACAATCTTTTTTTTTTTTAACTTTTATTTAATGAATATAAATTTCCAAAGTACGATTTATGGATTACAATGGCTTCCCCCCGATACCGTCCCTCCCACCCACAACCCTCCCCTTTCCCACTCCCTCTCCCCTTCCATTCACATCAAGATTCATTTTCGATTATCTTAATATACAGAAGATCAGCTTAGTATACATTAAGTAAGGATTTCAACAGTTTGCTCCCACACAGAAACATAAAGTGAAAAATAATAGATGATTTTTTTTAAATGATGATGAAATCAGATCAGACCTATTGTCATGTTTAATCCCAGTGAGAGTCAAGTTGGGAATTGATAATTTCTTTTTTTTTTTTTTTTTTACAGAAGATCAGTTTAGTATGCATTAAGTAAAGATTTCAACAGTTTGCACCCCCATAGAAACACAAAGTGAAATATATTGTTTGAGTACTCATTATAGCATTAAATCTCAATGCACAGCACATTAAGGACAGAGATCCTACATTAGGAGTAAGTGCACAGTGACTCCTGTTGTTGACTTTACCAATTGACACTCCTGTCTATGGCATCAGTAATCTCCCTATGCTCCAGTCATGAGTTTCCAAGGCTATGGAAGCCGTCTGAGTTCTCCGACTCTTATCTTGTTTAAACAAAGTCATAGTCAAAGTGGAGGTTCTCTCCTCCCTTCAGAGAAAGGTATCTCCTTCTTTGATGACCTGTTCTTTCCACTGGGATCTCGCACACAGAGATCTTTTGCCAGAGTGTCTTGGATTTCCATGCCTGAAATACTCTCATGGGCTTTTCAGCCAGATCCGATTGCCTTTAGGGCTGATTCTGAGGCCAGAGTGCTATTTAGGACATCTGCCATTCTATGAGTCTGCTGAGTATCTCACTTCCCATGTTGGATCACTCTCCCCTTTATTTATTCTATCGGTTAGTGTTAGCAGGTACTAGACTTGTTTATGTGCTCCCTTTGACTCTTAGTCCTTTCATTATGATCAATTGTGAACTGAAATTGATCACTTGGAATAGTGAGATGGCATTGGTACATGCCACGTTGATGGGATTGAATTGGAATCCCCTGGTATGTTTCTAACTCTACCATTTGGGGCAAGTCAGCTTGAGCATGTCCCAAATTATACATCTCTTCCCTCTCTTATTCCCACTCTTATGTTTAACAGGGATCACATTTTAGTTAATTTTCAACACTTAAGAATAACCGTGTGATAATTACAGAATTAAACCAGTCATATTAAGTAGAACAGATAAAAAAAAACTACTAAGAGGGATAATGTATTAAGTTGTTCATCAACAGTCAGGGCTATGCTGATCAAGTCACCGTTTCCCATAGTGTCCATTTCACTTCAACAGGTTTCCTTTTTGGTGTTCAGTCAGTTGTCACCGATCAGGGCGAACATATGGTATTTGTCCCTTTGGGACTGGCTTACTTCACTCAGCATGATGTGTTCCAGATTCCTCCATTTTGTTGCAAATGACTGGATTTCGTTGTTTCTTACTGCGGTATAGTATTCTAAAGAGTACATATCCCATAACTTCTTTACCAAGTCTACTGTTGATGGGCATTTGGGTTGGTTCCAGGTCTTAGCTATTGTGAATTGAGCTGCAATAAACATTAGGGTGCAGACCGCTTTTTTGTTTGCCAATTTAAATTCCTTTGGGTAAATTCCAAGGAGGGTGATGGCTGGGTCGAACGGTAGGGTTATCTTCAGATTTCTGAGGAATCTCTAGACTGACTTCCATAGTGGCTTGACCAGTTTGCATTCCCACCAACAGTGGGTTAGTGTCCCTTTTTCCCCACATCCTTGCCAGCATCTGTTGTTGGTAGATTTCTGCATGTGAGCCATTCTAACTGGGGTGAGGTGAAACCTCATTGTGGTTTTAATTTGCATTTCCCTGATTGCTAATAACCTTGAACATTTTTTCATGTGCCTGTTGGCCATTTGGATTTCCTCTTTTGAAAAATGTCTATTGAGGTCCTTGGCCCATCTCTTAAGTGGGTTGTTGGTTTTGTTTTTGTGGAGTTTCTTGATCTCTTTGTAGATTCTGGTTATTAACCCTTTATCAGTTGCATAGTTTGCAAATATTTTTTCCCATTCTGTCGGTTGGCTCTTCACTCTCCTGACTGTTTCTTTTGCAGTACAGAAACTTCTCAATTTGATGCAATCCCAATAGTTGATTTTGGCTTTGACTGCCTGTGCTTCCCGGGTCTTTTCCAGAAATTCTTTGCCTGTGCCAATATCTTGAAGGGTTTCTCCAATGTTCTCTAATAACTTGATGGTGTCAGGTCGTAGATTTAGGTCTTTAATCCATGTGGAGTGGATTTTTGTGTAAGGTGTAAGGTAGGGGTCTTGCTTCATGATTCTGCACGTGGAAATCCAATTTTCCCAGCACCATTTATTGAATAGACTGTCCTTGCTCCAGGAATTAGTTTTAGATCC